TCAATAGGCTGATCCTCTGCCTGTGGCACCGGCACACCGGGTTCTAGTCCCTGTTGGGGCGCCGGATTCTGTCCCAGTTGCCCCTCTTCCAGGCCAACTCTCTGCTGTGGCCCAGGTGTGCAGTGGAGGATGGCCCAGGTCCTTGGGTCCTGCACCCATGTGGGAGACCAGGAGAAGCACCTTCAGATCAGCGCGATGCACCGGCTGCTGGTGAACCAACGGCAAAGGAAGACCTTTCTCTCTGTCTCTCTCTCTCTCTCTCTCTCACTGTCCACTCTGCCTGTCAAAACAAAACAAAACAAAACAAACAAAAAAAAGAAGTCGGATCCTTGCAAGTGCTGGGGCGGTGGGGAGCCCCACTCCGTCCTCCCTTGGATCCTGCCCACTCCCTGGGCAGCCCCTGTAGGTTGTGGCACATCCTCACCATGCCGTGTCTGCTGTGCCCTTTCCACTCCAGCGCCGAGAGCCTCCTGGCTCCGCTTTGCGGCTGCTCCGAGGTTCATTCTCGGACGGCTGCACCCTTGTTTACTGCGCCATCCTCCTATCCGCGCACACTTGGGCTAACTGTGCACTGCCACACACGGCACAGCAGACGACAGCCGTGCTCAGAAGGCAAATGCTCAGAAGCGGGGCTGCTGGGTACGCGGGACACGCACTTGCAGTTGACGTCACTGGGGAAGCTGTCCCGCGGGACGAGGCTTGCCCAGTGACAGCCTTCTGAGAGCGCGTGAGCCGCGGCTGAAGTGGGCGCATCCGGCTGCGGCTGTCGAGGTGTGAACTGTTCCCGTCCCCACGTCGTCGGAGGTCGGGGAGGCAGCATCGGTCTGAATTTCTGCTGCCTCCCTCAGGAGCTTAAACCTCTTGGAGCCCGAATGTGTCCCCCGAGCCATTTCTCACTACATTGGACCTGGAGCAAACGCAAAGGGCATTTGAGCCACACACCTGGCGGGCCTCCCAAGGCGCCCGGCGCGGTCCCCAGCTGTGGCGAGCCCTCAGGGGGCCGGCTGCCAGCCAGCTGACCAGCACCGGGCTCTGATGCCAAGCAGGGTTGGCTCCTGGGGCTGCAAGCTGGGCTTCGCGCTGACTGCTTCAAGCATGAACAGTTTCCCCACCACAGATGGGAAAAGCCAGCTTCCCTGCTTACCCTAGGGTCCGGGCTGACCTCAGACGCAAGCTTGACCTTGATCTCTGCGGTGGTCACCTCCCAACACCACTCGGGCTGCTTCCCCAGAGTGCCTGCGCCCGAGGCAGCCAAGGGTTTCTGGAAAAATGACACCCCATCCGGCCAGCACCCAGACTCGTGCTCAGTGTCCTCTCCCCTTTGTCTCTGTCCCTCTCATACACACCCCCCCACACACGCACAGCTTCAGTGGACAGAATAAGCATAAGCAGTGCCAAGCCCACGCATGTCCGAAAGCCACGGTCACTTGCCCTTCCTGGCGTCTGACCACAGGAAATGCTGCAAAGAGAAAAAAACAGAACTGAGCAAAATCGGGAGGTCAGCGAGGCCCTTATGGTCAGTTTTCTAGTGGTCAGGGGTAGGATTAGGAAGGGCTCGCCAGAGATGGTGTTAGCAGGCAGTGGACAAAAGCTTCCGAAAGAAGGAGTCGTTATAACTTTCTCAAAAGAGGTGACACTGACAGGGCCGGCACTGTGGTGTAGCAGGTAAAAGCCACCGCCTGCAGAGCCAGCATCCCATATGGGCGCCAGTTTGAGTCCCGGCTGCTCCACTTCTGATCCAGCTCTCTGCTATGGCCTGGGAAAGCAGCAGAAGATGGCCCAAGTCCTTGGGCCCCTGTACCCACATGGGAGACCCGGAAGAAGCTCCTGGCTCCTGGCGTCAGATTGGCGCAACTCTGGCCGTTGTGGCCAATTGCAGAGTGAACCAGCGAATGGAAGACCTCTCTCTCTCTCTCTCTCTCTCTTTCTCTGCTTCTTTCTTTCTCTGTAACTCTTTCAAGTAATTAAATAAATCTTAAAAAAAAAAAAAAGAGGCGTCGCTGAATGGTTTTAGAAAACTATTCCCATTTTTCCAGGGACCCCTGTTTGGGGCGCGATTCCAGGAAATTCTGCCAGCCGTTGGAGGCATGCTGCCCACAAACAATTGAGGTTTTAGCAGGGCTTTCCAAGAAATCGCTGCGAATTATCCAAAATGCTATATCTGTAAATGGCACTCAGTGAATCTCCAACAGGAAAGAAAAAAAAAAAAGAAAAAAACCAGTAACTTGTGTAGGGACAAAGTTGCAGTCGTGAGGAAATGTTCAGAAAGTGGGTAGAGATGGGTTTTAATTATGTGTCCTTGGGACCCACACAGGAAAAGAGAGAGGAAGTCAGATGGTGGCTCTGGCAGTTTTGAGTGAATTTCTAAATAGTCTGGAGTCACCAGGGAGGAGCCCGGGCCAGGATCTGGTTTACCGACAGGAGGGCACAGACCTGGAGCCCCGCAGCACGGCCGAGGTGTGTGTCGCCAGGAGTCTGCCCGGCACAGCTCTGGTCTGGTTCCCCTTCCAGCCACGATGCTGCTTAACACCACGAGGAAGATGGGCAGTGGCAGAGGTTTCTGGTGCAGCCAGTCAAGACCCCAGCGTCACCAGTCACCGAAGTCCTCAGTTTACCTCGGTGCGGCGCCCACAGTCTAACCAGCCCGCCTCCTCCTCACCTTTACAAATGAAGGAGGGAGGGACGGAGGGGGCTGTGGGTGCACTGGGGGTGGGCGTCAGGAGGCCTGCAGGTCCTGGCAGCTCGGGCTGTCTCTGGAGGCGAAGCCATCCTGGGGTTACTGCCACGGAAGTCTCTGGTGCCCTGGATTTGCTCCGGCTGTCTCCTGACCCAGGTCCCTCGTGGAACAATCTGGATCTGTCCCCTAGGGAACCGCTTTGGCTCAGCCACCAGCTGCTCTGGGCAGGGCTTCTCTCCCAGCCACCAGGAAGCAGCCTGACCCACGCCTGCTCTTCCTGCAAGGACTTGCCTTATGGGTTCCTCTGCTGCTCCTGGGGGCTCCGTCAGGCTCAGCCGCGATGGCGAAAAGCTTACCCTTCCACACCGGGAGAGAAAACCCCACGGAGCCTGCGCCCAGGAGCCGAGGGACGGCCACGAGGAATCAGGACAAAGCCTTTGGCATCTGCCATGTCCCCGTCACCCCTGCACCCTTCCCGGTGGGGTCTGCAGAGAGAATGGAGACGCGTGTAGAGCAGGTTGGGAAACAGCAAAGCCGCCCAGGAGGTAACGAAACTGAAAGCTGCATCTCGCCAGCAGGCCGGGCGCTTTCTGTAAACCACCGTGAACCGGGGGGCTGTCGCTGAGCGGGGGCATCTGGTGGCGGCTCTGGGCGTTTGCGGTCTCTGCTCCCACTGGAGACCTCCTCCAACGGTTTCCCAGCCTGTAATTCACGGTTGTATGTTCTGTATTTTTCCCAAGACCACTGCTGCGATCCTATACTCACTGCATAATGAGTATTTTATTTTTAGACGTGGGTCACCTCTTAGGGCGTCTGTGGGAAGGTGAGTAATGGACTATTTTTTGATGCAAGTCACAAATGTCCAAGAGAGCAGTATTGCCCCAAGAATGAACAAGATGACCACCCCTGAGTGGCCGGGAAGGCATCGCCATCTCCCACAGCTCGGTCAAGTGTGTAAAGGGCGCAGCACGGGGCCACACGGACAGGGATACCCACGCCTGCTCTCCACCCCCGAACTTGGGTTCGTCTGCCCGGCGCGGGGCACTATCCTGCTCTCCAAGTTTCCTTAGGCTACTAAGTAGCAAGCCCCCCTGATTACACACGCGCCCGGGCCCTATGCACCCCTCTCAGCTTCCACTGCCCTCGCCGAGTTTCTAGAAGCCGGAATCCCAACCCTGTCTGTACTGTCTGTAGCCCCCGGCATGGCCTTTTTCCAGATGGCCTCCGGCCGGCCGCCTGCTCGCACGGACCGCGCTCCACACCGCGTGCACCGGCTCGCTCTCCGCCCTGGGGCCGCTCCGGAGCTCCAGAGGCGGCGGCCTGCTCGGCCGCCCGGCGGGAACAAAGCTGCAGTGTGGACGGAGCGCGGCGCCCGAGCCGGGAGGTCGGCCCGGCGGCAGGCGAGGGCGTGGCGGCGGGGTTTATCTGAGGACAGCCCCGGCCGGGGCAACGTGCGCTCCGTGGACCGTCCGGTGCCCAGGAAGCCCCCTCTGCGGACCACGCTCCCGCCCGTGCGCCGCGGCGCGCGCTCCGGGCCCTGCGCGTCCTCGGGGGCGCGCCTCGCGCAGGCGGCCGGGACGCGACCGCGGGGTCGGGGCCGCGGGCACCCAGGGCGCTCGCTCGCCGGCCGCGGACGCCCCTCGCGACGCGGCCTCGCGCCCCCTCCGCCCGGCCGCTCGGTGGGCGGGGCGCGCGGGGATTTTTTTTTTTTTTTTGGGTCAAACTTTGGCCACGTGAGCCGCCCCCCATTCACTTTTGCGCCAATCGCGCGGCGCGGACGGATCCCGAGAGGGGCCACGGCCCGCCGCCGCCGCCGGCCGCTTCATAACGCGCGGTGCGTGACGTGAGGGGCTCCTGTGGCCATGGCGAGCTAAGCCGGAGGATGAGCAGCGGCGGCGCCGGCCACGCAGAGGACGGGGGCGGGCGCAGCGCGAGCCGAGCCGAGCCAGCCGCGGGCCGCGAGCGGGGCGGGACAGGGGTCCGGGCCCGGCTGCCACAGCCGTCGCCATCGCGCTGGCCCCGCGCCCCCGCGCGCGAGCGGGAGGAGCCGCCGCCGCCGCCGCCGCCGCCGCCGCCGCGTCGCGCCCGAGCCGCCGCCAGCGCGCGCCGGGCATGGTCCGCTCTTAAAGGCGCAGGCCGCGGCGGCGGGGGCGGGCGTGCGGAACAAAGCGCCGGCGCGGGGCCTGCGGGCGGCTCGGGGGCCGCGATGGGCGCGGCGGGCCCGCGGCGGCCGCGGCGCTGCCCGGGCCGGGCCTCGCGGCGCTAGGGCGGGCTGGCCTCCGCGGCCGGGGGCGGCGGGCTGAGGGCGCGCGGAGCCTGCGGCGGCGGCGGCCCGGCGGGCGGAGCGGTGCGGGCATGGCCGCGCGCGGCCGGCGCGCCTGGCTCAGCGTGCTGCTCGGGCTCGTGGTGGGCTTCGTGCTGGCCTCGCGACTCGTCCTGCCGCGCGCCTCCGAGCTGAAGCGAGCGGGCCCGCGGCGCCGCGCCAGCCCCGAGGGCTGCCGGCCCGGGCAGGCGGCGGCGTCCCAGGCCGGCGGGGCGCGCGGCGATGCGCGCGGGGCGCAGCTCTGGCCGCACGGCTCGGCCCCGGAGGGCGGTCCGCGCGACAGGAACTTTCTCTTCGTGGGAGTCATGACCGCGCAGAAGTACCTGCAGACCCGCGCCGTGGCCGCATACAGGTGAGCCCCACTAGGCGGGCACCGCCTCCTGCGCGCAGCGTCCCCGCGTGCCGGGGCTTCCTGGGGGATCGGGGTGCCCCCTGGGCGGGACGGGGCGTGGCGAGCGCGTGGCAGCCGGGAGCACGGGCTCGGGGGTGGGGTGGACGAGGGTGGCCCCTTGGGTGCGCCCCTCACGCTGACCTGCAAGACAGCATCTCTCCGGTCTTCTTGAGACCGCCTGCGTGCTCCTAGGGTTGTGCAAGACGCGCAGCACGCGCCTGTGGCCGGGGTGGCGGTGGGGTTAGTGGCTGCTCCAAAATGCCCACCTCTACCCGCGCAAAGCCCGAGCCCGCGTGTAAGTTAGTCCAGTGAGAGCTTTTTGCTTATCAGCTTCTCAGTGACCCTGTGGGAGGCGCGCCTGTGGACGGAAGGGGGGTGCCCACTGCCAAGTAGAGCCACGGAGAACCCTGGGGCAGAGCTGCGCGACGCCGGGGGAGACCCGGGGGAGACTTCTTGCTTGCCTGCCTGTGTCCTGCGAGTGGGGTGTGCGTGTTACCCAGTCGCTGGGCCCTCGGTGGCCAAGTGAGTCAGGAAAAGTGACTGCAGGATTAACAGGGATTAGTCAGAGAAGTCGTTAGCGGGGAGATGCTTTGGGGACGGCGGGCGCGGTTTGTGTTGGGGTGAATCCGGAGTGGGAGGGAAGTGGAGACTCGGTGGAGAGGTGGTGTGGAAGCCGCCCTGTGCGTGTGGCACAGGGACGGGGCTGTGTGCTGCAGCTTGGGCTGCGGCCAGCCCGAGAGCGCGAGTGTTCGGGCAGCGAGCCGGGAGCACCAGGAGTGCTGAGCAAGGCTCGCCGGTTACTGTCTGCTCTTCACTGTAGCCGGCACCGTCTTCAGTTTGGCATTTCAGCGCCGGATGTTGGATCTTCTTTGCCTTGAAGGGAGGAAGTGAGATTGAGAAAGAAGGCGGAGGAGCAGCCAGGAATGCCTCCTGAGGGCATCGGCCCCTGCTCCTGCAGGTTTCTGGTCCAGGGCCCGCCTTCTGCCAGGAAGATCGGCTAAGAAGCCCGGAAGGCAGGTAGCGCGCCTGGTGCACCAAGCAGGAGCCGGACACACCACGACGCCCAGGGATTTTACGTGACCGCGCGTTGTGACCAGAGGAACGGCCAAGGCACGGGATGAGCCGCGTGCCCTGGTGCCGCGGGGAAGCCACGTGGCTGGGGTTTGGTGCTGGCCCGTGAACTCATGGCTTATGGGGACAGCCACCGAAGGGGTCTGTTCAGGCTGTGGGTTGTATGACTCCTGTCCTTTAGCCCCAGCAAACACATCTTCATGGCGACGGAGTGCCTCAGAAGCAGTAGGGGCCGTGTGAGCCCCGCAGGGCTCAGAGAACGTGGTGCAAGCCCGCGTTGCTCTTCCACACGTAGAGGTGGTTTTCCAGGGCCCGGGCTCCACGGCGCCGCCCTCATCCGTGTCGGGGTGAGAGATTCTGTCTCGCTGTGTGCTTTCTTTCAGGTGGTCGGGAGGTTTGTGAGAAGGGAGAACTCCCGCCGGCCAGTACTGCCTCCTGTCCAGGCCCTGGGCAGCTTTCTCACATACCTCCCTTTCTCTCCGGGGCCTGGTCCTTGGAGCCCTGGGGGGAGACCGCCCTGCCTCCCAGCCTGTCGGCCCTGTGTTTAGACTGGCTGCAGGAGGTGGCACGGCCGAGTTTAGCCCGAGGAACTCTTACAGAAAGCCTGGATCGGATGGAGGTTGTAGGCTGTAACTTATGATTACAGTTTTGCTGCGCTTTGCAGACTGGGCCAGAAGTCCACACTGCGCTCCGAAATTGGAAATCCCGTGCACAGTTCAGATAAAGAGAGGTTTGAGTGTCCAGGTCCAAGGCTGAGCTCTAGTTGGGGACAGGGCGTACTTGATGTACATTTCCCATAGCAGCAAATGCAGTGCTAATCTGAGAAAATCCTCTAGTTTCTTTCTTTCAAACTACTGCTTGGCTTATGGATGAAGGACATGCCATCTTGCTTTTAGTAAGATAGTACTGTCCCTGACTGACACGGACCCGAGATGGTGGCCTGTGTGTGTGACAGTCCCTGCTCTCAGTCACCCAGGAGACGCCTGTGTGTGTGTGTATATGACAGTCCCTGCTCTCAGTCACCCAGGAGACGCCTGTGTGTGTGTGACAGTCCCTGCTCTCAGTCACCCAGGAGACGCCTGTGTGTGTGTGACAGTCCCTGCTCTCAGTCACCCAGGAGATGCCTCTGTGTGTGTGTGACAGTCCCTGCTCACAGTCACCCAGGAGACGGCCTGTGTGTGTGTGTCAGTCCCTGCTCTCACACTCACCCAGGAGACGGCCTTGTGTGTGACAGTCCCTGCTCTCAGTCACCCAGGAGACGCCTGTGTGTGTGTGTGTGACAGTCCCTGCTCTCAGTCACCCAGGAGACGCTTGTGTATGTGACAGTCCCTGCTCTCACACTCACCCAGGAGACGCCTGTGTGTGTGTGTGACAGTCCCTGCTCTCTCAGTCACCCAGGAGACGCCTGTGTGTGTGTGTGTGTGTGTGTATGACAGTCCCTGCTCTCAGTCACCCAGGAGACGCCTGTGTATGTGACAGTCCCTGCTCTCAGTCACCCAGGAGACGCCTGTGTGTGTGTGTGACAGTCCCTGCTCTCAGTCACCCAGGAGACGCCTGTGTATGTGACAGTCCCTGCTCTCAGTCACCCAGGAGACGCCTGTGTGTGTGTGACAGTCCCTGCTCTCAGTCACCCAGGAGACGCCTGTGTGTGTGACAGTCCCTGCTCTCAGTCACCCAGGAGACGCCTGTGTGTGTGTGTGACAGTCCCTGCTCTCAGTCACCCAGGAGACGCCTGTGTGTGTGTGTATATGGCAGTCCCTGCTCTCAGTCACCCAGGAGACGCCTGTGTGTGTGTGACAGTCCCTGCTCTCAGTCACCCAGGAGACGCCTGTGTGTGTGTGTGTGACAGTCCCTGCTCTCAGTCACCCAGGAGATGCCTGTGTGTGTGTGTGTGTGTGACAGTCCCTGCTCACAGTCACCCAGGAGACGGCCTGTGTGTGTGTGTGACAGTCCCTGCTCTCACACTCACCCAGGAGACGACCTTGTGTGTGACAGTCCCTGTTCTCAGTCACCCAGGAGACGCCTGTGTGTGTGACAGTCCCTGCTCTCAGTCACCCAGGAGACGCCTCTGTGTGTGTGTGACAGTCCCTGCTCTCAGTCACCCAGGAGACGGCCTTGTGTATGTGACAGTCCCTGCTCTCACACTCACCCAGGAGACGCCTGTGTGTGTGTGTGTGTGTGTGACAGTCCCTGCTCTCAGTCACCCAGGAGACGCTTGTGTATGTGATAGTCCCTGCTCTCACACTCACCCAGGAGACGCCTGTGTGTGTGTGTGACAGTCCCTGCTCTCTCAGTCACCCAGGAGACGCTTGTGTGTGTGTGTGTGTATGACAGTCCCTGCTCTCAGTCACCCAGGAGACGCCTGTGTGTGTGTGTGTATATGACAGTCCCTGCTCTCAGTCACCCAGGAGACGCCTGTGTGTGTGTGACAGTCCCTGCTCTCAGTCACCCAGGAGACGCCTGTGTGTGTGTGTGTGTGTGTATGGCAGTCCCTGCTCTCACACTCACCCAGGAGACGCCTGTGTGTGTGTGTATATGACAGTCCCTGCTCTCAGTCACCCAGGAGATGCCTGTGTGTGTGTGTGTATGACAGTCCCTGCTCTCAGTCACCCAGGAGACGCCTGTGTGTGTGTGTGTATGACAGTCCCTGCTCTCAGTCACCCAGGAGACGCCTGTGTGTGTGTGTGTATGACAGTCCCTGCTCTCAGTCACCCAGGAGACGCCTGTGTGTGTTTGACTTTCCCTCTACGTCACAGCCCCACCATTGCCCACTTCCGCTTTCTGTCCTCAGCGAGGGGAGAGGGGCCACTGGGAGATAGGGCAGTGATAGCTGTTTGGGGACAAGAAACAGATTTTACAAAGCAAGCAAAACAGAACTGGAGGGTGGTCAGAGGCCAGCCAGGTCCGCCTCACCGCACGGGTTCTGCAGAGTGGGTGGGCCCCACAGCTGTGGGGCCGCAGGAGCGACCCCGGCTCGTTAGGATGCACTGTGTACAGCAGGTTCATGCTCAGGCCCCTTTGGGTCCAGACCCCGAGTGCCGGGGACAGAACAACACTGGAGCTGCTTTCTTGGGGGGGTGGGGGGAGCCACGAGAAAGAGGGTTTTGGCTGCTGACGGGTGCTGTGGAGAAAATAGGACAGCGGCAGGGCAGGGCGGCGTCCTCCTGGTGCTGGGTGTTCACAAGGGCGGCGGAGACCATGGCACTGGGGCTGAGGTCTGACAGCCAGCGGCCAGTTGGGACCGTCACTGGTGAGCTCGCAGGGCTGAAGGGTGGAGCTGGCAAGTTACAGGGCAGGAGCCAGCTTGGAAGGGAGCTCCGGGAAGCCCAGTCCGAGAAAGGGCGGCCTGGTGGTGTCCCCGCCAGGCAGTGTTAGTCTAAGAACGAGAAGAGCCGCAGAGGGTTTGACGTGGGAAAGGGAGGTAGTGGCTGGGGTTCTACCGGTAAACACAAAATAAATCGTTGTGACCCCTCCGCTTGTAGCTTAGCTGATTTTCCTTTGGGATGGCACCACGCTCCTGCAGAAGTATTTTTTTACGCCAGGCAGGGGCAAGGAGTGAAGACCCTGGAGTTGGTTGTGTTTCGAGTTACTAGTTGCAATTCATATTTCCCCCCATTTAGAATGTTTGTTCTCAGCGGTTAAACATCTGTGTAACTCGGGCCGTGCGTGGCTTTCCCTGTCTGGTTTAGCTCCCCTCACCCCCACCTCACTCACAAGGTCACTGCCTCGGGAGAGGTCTGAAGGTAGCATTTGTCCTTTTAGAAAGGGGAGGACTCAGCCTCACCCCTACCCCAGGGAGCGCACTGTCTGAGCAGCATCTGCTGACTAAGCTGTCATTTCCCTACCATTTCGAAACGCCATCTTCATGGTCCGAATTCCTGGGTATGCCT